TTTATGTAGATTTAGGAATAAGATGGGGGGAGTACGGGCCTTGTGGAACAGAGCTCTTCACTATGGCAGCCTCCGATTTAACTCTGTTGACCCTACTTTGTGTTCGTTTTGTTAGGAAGTGAAGATCATTCTCCCACTTTCCCAGTTATTCCTTTAGCACGTATTTTATGGGCTATTACGCCATGATCGCATTTGTCAAATGCTTTTGCAAAGTCTGTGTATATTACATTCTGCATTCTGATTTTCTTCAGTGCATCCAAGGCCATCATAGTGATCCAGTAGTTGTGAGAGGAGGAGCGACCTGCCTGAACCCATTTGCCTGGATTGTGCAGATTTTGGGAACCCAGGTGATTTGAAATCCTGCTTCTTAGCACTCTTTCAAAGATTTTTATGATGTGGGACGTCAGAGCTATTGGTCTATAGTTCTTAGCTAATGCTTTGTTTGCCCCCTTTATGAGTGGGCTATATCCGTTGTTTTAAGTGACTGGGAATTTTCAACCCATGTCCAAGCTCCTCCTCCATAGTGTACTTAGGGCACGCGAGAGGGTTTCTTGCAGTTCTTAATGAAAACAGATTTTCACGAGTCTGGGCCCGGGCTGAGTGCATAGCATGTTGTCAATGCTTTTTCGAATCTATCGGAGTTAGGGTAATGTCGGAAATCTGGCATACATTTATGGAGTTTTGGGCTCATTCATGAAGAAACATTTGGGTCGTCGATCCTCAGACCGATTAGTGGTTCACTAAACACAGAGTCGTACGGGGATTTCAATATTTCACTCATTTCCTTGTTGTCTCTGTGTAAGTCCCATCCTGTCTGAGTAAGGGCCGATACTAGATGTGGTATTTGCCTTGTTTTTGGCATATGAAAAGAAATATTTTGAATTTCTTTCAATTTCACTAATAGCTTTAAGCTCCTCCTGTCTCTCCTGGTTCCTGTAAGAGTCATTTAACTTAAGTTCGATAGTTTCCACTTCCCTGGTCAGCGCCTCCTTTCGTGTATCAGATATTCTAGCACTCCTGAGGAGCTCAGTGACTCTTGTCGTCTTCTGTAGAGGGAGCGTCTTTCTCTCTCCAGTTTACTCCTGTCTTCTTCTTTCTTAGGGGAATATGCCTAGAACATGCTTCAGCTGCCAGGAAGTTGATCCTTTCAAGGCACTGGTTTGGATCCATGTCATTTTAGATATCTTCCCAACATGTTTGCGTTCAGACATGGTTTATCTGGTCCCAGTTGATAGAGTTCTTGTTGGTTGAAATGTATTTGTGTCAGACACTCACGAGGTACATGCATTCTGCGATCAGAAAAAGTAAAAACAGGAAAAAGGAACCACCTATGCAATGTATGTCTGGACTTCGATTAGGTTGCGATCGGAATTAGTTGTGTTTTTTTATATCTTATGTCACTAATCAGTCCGTCATTATTGTGAAGATAAGGTCAGGTGTTTTTCTTCCTAGTCTTTGGTGGCTCCACTATCTGCTGGCTATAATGTGTGTTTTTCGGCAGAGAATAAGTAGCTCATGTGTGTGGAGACCTTTCATCTGCGTTACCCTCCAGGATTGTTTCAGCTATAACATTAGTTTGCTAATTTCCTTGTGTCCATTTTGTATGCCTTAGTTGAAATCACAAGCATAAGGATGTGTTGGGGATGGAGCTGGAAGGTTTTCCCAGACAGTAATCAATTTTTCAGTAGCTTTGTCCTTGAACGTGTTGTGAGGTTGACATCTGTTGGCTGGTATATATCAACCACAATGAATAGGTTTTGGGTCTCGATCTTTATTGATACACTTGCAACTACCTCATTTGTGGTGTTCAGCAACTCCATGCAGATGAGGAGACTCTTTGGACATACAGGGAGCAACCCCCCCTTTGCCTGTTTTATTTCGTGATCGCATCTAAAAGTTGTTACACTTATCCATTTTTTCACTGTCTCAAGTGATCTTTTTGTGTAGAGTCGTTCTGTGAAGGCTGCAAACATTGCATTAGACTGCCTCTAGAAGTCCACTGATAAAAGGTATTTTTTTTTTTGTGTTATGGTGGATGCTTAAGGGCCCTGTATATTAGCAAATATGAAAGCAACGAGGTTGTATCTCTGTGTTTGTGGGGTGGATTTTGTTTATTGATTTATATGTATATAAATATATAAATAAGATATATATATATATATATATATATATATATGAGGTATAAATATATATAGATATATATTTAATATATAAAATATATAATGCATATAATTTATAGTATATAGTATATATTTGATGGATATATAGTATATATATAGTATATATATGATATAATATATATGATGCGAGCAGTAGAGATTGGAGGAATTTTAAATGTTGATGAAGAATAGGGAAGCTGTGAATTGCGTAGTTAGGAGATTGCAAGGGCGGGGTGAGTTCGATAGCGGCATGCTTTAGTAGGATATGTGTAGGCGCGAGAGCCGCAGTTGTGAGTGGGTGGGGAAGTTCGTGAGGCAGTAGGGGGGGAAAAATGAAAGGTTCAAGGCTAGCGGATTGATGGATAAAGATAAAATTTAAAAGCAGGTGGTGATATAGTTTTGGGAGTGGTTGGTGCAATTGTTTAAAAAAATGTATGGTAAGAGGTAAGGTACCTAGGAATGGCATGAAGCATGCATTAGTTCCTTTGTATAAAGGCAAAGGGGATAAAAGAGAGTGCAAAAATTATAGGTGGAATAAGTCTGTTGAGTGGTACCACTGGTAAAGTTATGGTAGAGTTATAATTGAAAGACTTAGAGTAAGACGGAAGAATAGGATACAGATGAACAAGGAGCTTTAGAAAGGTAGGGGGTGTGTGGACCCAGGTGTTAACAGTGGAAACATATAAGTGAACAGTAATTAGATAAGGCCTAAAGAGGTCATTGTGGCATTTATGGATTTGGAAAGCGTATGAGACAGGGTGGATAGGGGGACAATGTGGCAGATGTTGCAAGTGTATGGTGTAGGAGGTAGGTTACTGAAAGCAAGTGAAGAGTTTTTT